ATTCGATCTTGAATAAGAAAAACAAATCAGGAATGTCTGTTTTGTGTGTAGAAAGGAAAGGAAATAAGAAGTGGATGAGCGATGGACGCGAAAGCCGGACTGAAGCAGCGAGAGAATCCGGGCCGGACATTCTGGGGCAACGGGAGCAGCACTCGAGAGTCCACAACACCCCGCTTTCCAGAAGCCTCTGCAGTGAGAGATAGAGAGACGGGACAAGCTGCGGGCGAGCAGGCAGCGAGCTTAACATAAGCCTCTCGATCGGAGGGTCCCGAAGGGACCCCGCGTCCCGAAGGGACGCTCTCCGAAGGAGAGGAGGCGCTTCGCGCCTCCTCGGAGGAAGGGGACTTGTGTTAAGTTCGAGCAGGCAGCTCGTTGCTGAGTCTATAGTCATGTGGCTGTCTTCCATCTTCCGCTCAAGTGGCTTCTTGTCCGACCCGGCTCCTGATCACCTTCCTTCTGAATAAGCTTCCATTCACCGGTGCAAGCGTGTGTCATCATCATGTGGCCCTTTCTCTCTCTCTCTCTCCGTGCTCGTCTTAAGTCATATACAAAAAAATGAGTTTTTTTCTTTTGGTCTGGGTTGGTCTAGGCGGGTGGCCGGCTTTCTCTCTCTCTCTCTCTCTCTCTCCCGTGTGTACATGTTCCGGGTGGATGGGAGAGGGAGAGCATCCCGGATATAAGTTGACATGATATATTCAAGCACTTTACGTCCCCTCCTCCTCTGGTAATAGTATCCCATGAAAAAAGAAGGCAAGAAGATCATCAAAGCCTGTGTGAAGTCCCTCCCTCTCTCTGTCAAAAAAAAAGAGCCAAAGCGGCCAAGAAGAAAAGAAGAAAAAGCCGTGTGGAGTAGAAGCAGCGGAGGTCGAAGCACGACGAGAGTAGGAGATGGGAGATGGGCACGGACGGACAAAAAAGGGGGGGATCCGGGCTCAATATAGGGTCTGAGATAGCAGACGCACACAGATTGTCCAAGAACAGAGTCTCTGGGCGGGATGTGTCATGAGGTGTGTTTTGTGGTGGGGATCGGGGTTTCTTGATGATAGGATGGAGCTTCCCGGGGGGCCTTGGTTTCAAGAGCGTGTGGGAGAGAGAATGGAGAGCAGCGTGTTCATCGATGAAGGAGCCCGCCAAGAATGCTTGATCATCATCCTTATCTGGAGACACCGCCCTTTGCGCTCCGACGTCCGCCCACTCTTTTGGCTCATCCATCCATCCATCCGACTTTGGCCGAGAGACGCTTGCAGGCCGCGAGGCCAGAGAGCACAAGACTATATAACCCCCCAAGACCCACTAAAAATCTCCCCAAGACTTGCAATGTGTGCACACATTGAGGGTGGGATGGATGGTGTCTTCAATTGAGAGTCTGTCTGAAAGTCATTGCAAAAAAAAGGCACTGAATTACAAGAGGTTGGTTTAGGAGAAGATTATCGGTTGCCCGAGGAGGGATGCTTCTTATCCGGGCCCAGATTCGCGTCGGGATTGTTAGTCGGAGCGGTTCCATTAGTCGGATTGGTGGTTGGCGAGTTGGGATTCGGTTGGGAATGGTCGAGCTGTTCGATCGGATTAGCCGAGTTTTGCTAACGAAGTAAACCGCAGAAAATGAGTGAGTAAATAGAAAAAACACAAAGGGAAGGGTGGTGTTGAGGGACGAACGTTTTCGAGTTTGTTGTTGACGAGGCCATGGAGGGCGATGACTGCGCGGATGAGGCTAGAGAGATAGACGACAAGAAGCTGGTCATTAGTGACGACGGTGAGTGGCTTGGCGCGATCGTTAGCGGCCGAGGAGGCCGATGGGCTGAGGTCGACGTTGGGGAGCAGGTTGAAGATGTCCTGGAGGTTGTAGATGATCTGGTGGTTCAGCGGCAGTTTCCCCCCAAGCACGCCCTCCAGATACTCGCTGATCTCCCCCAGCCTGGCTTGCAAGGCCCGCAGCGAATTCAATCGGCCTGTCACCCGCGTCGATAAGGTCCCCGTCGACAGATCCTTGATGTCTCGTAGTAAATGCTCCACCCCGATCTCCTCTGATTCTTCCGCTTCGATCGAAGATGGTACATGCATGAATGTGTTTTGCGTCGCCGTGCCATCCTACATGATATTTGGTTTCCATCAGATTTGTCAGTAGTTTTGTTTGGGTTGAAGATCGAGAGAGAGAAAAAAAAAAAAAAGACAAACGTCTTTGATTTCCTCGATGGCGAAATAGGCATCAGTCACAGAGCCCTTGACGACCCCACGATCAGCGCGAACGTCGACGATGACCATGACGGGGCGGGGACAGTAGCGTTTGAAGACCTCATTAATCTCGAGGTCGGTCGCCCGAAGTTTGGGGCCGGTATGGTACCAGCCGATGAGTTTTTCCTTGGCCGAGACCTTCTTGAACATCTCGCCCATTGCCTCGACAAAGTTGTGGTCGAGGAACCAGGACGGCGGCTGACTAGCGGTCGACGACGACGACAACGGGCCGGCTTCCTCCTCGTCAAACGGCACCGCAAACGAATTCGCTACGTTCAACGTGCTCCCTAAGTCTTGTCCTAGTAACACGCCCACGACCCTCTTCGAGCCTCCCTTCGCTACTCGCGCCGCATGGTCGGTCACCGATAGTAATACCAACGGATGGATAATCACCTGCACTCATCAAATTGTTAATCATCCCGCTGATCAGTTTCTCCATCTCTCTATATTTATTCGAGACGGAGAGATTTGAAGATCCAAGAAGAAGGGCTTACCTGGGTAGTACTGAGTGCGACCATCTCTTCAGAAGTAGCAGCAACCATCGTATCTATCCTCAGTTTTTTTTTTTCTTTTGTGTATATTTGGTGAGGTGATTGCTGTGTGTGTGTGTGTGTTGTTGGGCTTTTTCGATCGTCGATCAGGGCTCTGACGTATGCCCACACACTTTCACTGACGCCTTTGGTCGGGATCGCGCGCGCTCGACGTCGCGCACTGATTGCGCGGCCTCTGTAGGCCCCCGAAGAAGGGTCCCTTTTCGTCACTTCGAACTCGCGCATTTCAGGCTCCAAAGTTGACCCTACAGATCAATTAGTTCATTTCTCATTTCTTCCTTTCTTTCTTTCTCCCAGTAGAATATCACTTTGAGAAACTGAAACACCCTAGAATTGATGGTACATCCAACCTGTGCACTACCATATTGCCACTATCCCCTTGAAGGTCAAAATTCTTTTTTTTTGTCCACCATATACTTGGCCTTGATATAATGATGCAGTACTTCAACATAGAAAACCTTGGTCCAGTTGATATTTTGTTATCTTATGATCATTATGAGAAGATAAAATACCTTGGTTGTGAAACTCTTCTGTCATCTGTTCTTGTCAATGGTATTTATGTATGGAAATGTCTCAAACAAAACCATGCCATAAAGTTCTTGAGTGCATTTTTTCTTTTTCTTTTTATCTTGTTGATTAAGGTGGGGAATGATAATTCATCAGAGAAGGAAGCTGATATAAGGGCCTGTCATCATCATCTGCTTGCATTTCTTGATAGGCTTGGTTGAATTTCCATAAATTTTGGTTTCCAAATCTGATCTTGATCAATAGCAACATTAATTTACATCTTGATTTCCTATCAAAATTCAGGTTTTTTTTTTCTCTTTCTTTTCACATTGATGCAATTTTTGGAGGATGAAAACTGTTACATATGAGGTTATACCAATCCATAGTGATGTCACCTTTTTTAGATAAAAGCTGATCAAGCCTGAATACATACTTATAATCTTCCAGCCCTCACATGGCCATGATAATCTGGGGAAGAGATTGTGGATTTACGTACATCATGATAAAGTTTTGTGCCTCAGACTGGCACAAGTGAGGACGAGCCATGATACATAGATACATAGGTTAGGACGAGTGTTGATGGGCTCAGTCAGACGGGCAATTCTCAGCTACAGTCCAACAGATTTTACGGCTGTGAGCCATGTATGCGTGTCACGGGACATGTATGCGTGTTCCACCACACTTCACAGCGTTTTCACTCGAGTTCAGCAGCCAGCTACATACAAATTTATTTGATAATCATCCTCCAGATAACAGGCGGTAGACGGCAGCACAACATTATACACATCAAGATCAAAGAAGAAGAAGAACTTTTGAGAGTCTGAGAATGACACTCCACCAGCCCACCAACACCAACCAATCTTCCACCTCGACCACCCCATCCGGAAAGCCAATCCCGCCTCGACAACGCAAGATCGCCCTCCTGGGCTCAAGATCCGTCGGCAAGAGCAGCTTGGCCGTCCAGTTCGTCGACGAACACTTCGTCGAATCTTATTATCCGACAATCGAACATACCTTCTCCAAAACCGTCGAACTCAACGGCAGGTTATTCAACCTCGAAATCCTCGATACCGCTGGTCATGTTGAGTTATATATATGCATCATACTCAGGCTCCTCGAAAATCATTCCCAAACTCAATCATCACTCATTGACACCTACTCATTTCTTCTCATGGCCACAACAAATCGATGGATGCGGCTTGTAGGATGAGTTCACGATCTTGGATTCAAGACAGGCAATCGGACTCGATGGTTGGGCATTAGTCTATTCGATCAATTCCAGGACGTCGTTCGACATGGTTGCGATCATCAGAGACAAGATCCTAGGCTTCATTGGTGCTGAGCATGTACCGATGGTTTTAATTGCCAACAAGACCGATCTAGAATCGCAAAGGTTAGTCTTCCTCTTCTTTCTCTCACTCGTCCTAAAAAAAAAACAATCATACTAAGAGCTGGTTGGTTGCTGGTGATCGGATGCAGACAAATTTCGAAGGAAGAGGGCCAATCGTTGGCGGCTGAATGGAAGTGCGGCTTCGCAGAGGCATCGGCCAGGTCGGGCGAGAACGTGATGAACAGCTTCCTGCTCGCGTTGATCGAGGTCGAGAAAGAGCTCAACCCCGACGAAGCTCCCTCCGCCTCCGTCGGCTCTGCTCTCCCTAAACAAGCCTCCACCGCCGATAAGTCTCGGGTCGGTACCGCTAATGAGAAGAACTCGAAATGCGAGATCGTCTGAACTTGGCCTCTCTCTCTCTCTCTTTTGAAGAACAAAAAACAAATACTTCTTCTTCCATGTCGTAATGTTCATTCTTCTTCACTTGTGAATTAACTTGTACTCCATTCCATCACATACCCGTGTTTTTTTTTATTCAAAACCAAGATCGTTATTGCTTCATATTTCTGTATGCTTCACCCATCCATTTCCCCATTCCAAGATATTCAAGACAACTACACATACATACATATCTGACACTGAATATCATATGCCTGTGTCCTCCTGATAATCCAGCTCCAATTTCGACACCCATAATAGTCTTTCTCGTAATGTACATTATTTCTTTTGATCCTATACAAAAAGGCCCCCTTGAATGAAAAATGAATTATAAAACTGGCCTGATTTTGGGTTTTGTCTCGTTTCTGGTTTTTGGGGCTAGTTGATAATTGATTGTTTATTTAGACCAGAGGTGGCATCTGAATCTTTCAACAAACAATAACCTTGTCTGACCAGTAATCCACTGATCTAGCCAGCTGTGTTTCCCAAATCTTTGAAAGAGCAGAGGCAACGCTGCCACAGATACGATACGATACATGTATCACCAATACTGAGTATTGTATTTTTTTTCTGATACCAATTTTGAGAGAGACACTTCTTGTATTTGGTCCCAAATACGATACCATGTATCGTATCTAGTGGGCAATACATGGTATTTGTGTTTATTGGTATCATGTGATGATACTGATACGGGAGGAATACCGGATTTCCAGTATCAGATTTTTTTTATTTTTTGATAGCTATTTATGCAGTTTAATTTCTGGGCTAGGATTTAACTAAGACTATGGATCCTTGAGGATCTTTTGGGCAAAAAGGAAAAAAAAACATTTCTACTTCATGTGATGGGGGATTTTCTTCCCCTTTTGAAAAGCCTCCTCTTCATTTTCCTGGGTGATGATAGCCTGTGCAGTCTCAAAAGTTTCGTCCGGTTCAAATCCTTGGACTATCCATTGATGAGAACTTACACAACGTTCAATCGTACTTGCTTCAAGACTTCCTCGATTGCGACCACAAGTGTCAGCTGCGGCTGAAAAACACCTCTCAACACTTGCAGAGGTTGCTGAGCAAGCCAAGTAGTCCCTGGCAAGGAGGGCCAAGGTTGGGAACTCTTCTTCATGGTCCTATTAAGAGAAATTAAGTTAATGTTATATTCATCTCCAAATTTTGATGATGAAATATGATTACCTTCCACCATTGCAAGCACTGATCGGCTTCAGAACTTGGCAACTTATACTTACCCCCCAAGTAGATAGCAAGCTCATCAGCAACAGGAGCCTTGACTGAGTCAGGAAAGTAGTCGGTTTGCTTTCGAGCTTGTTTGATGGATTTAGACTTGTCGGCAGCTACTGGTGGGGCGGATTCGGTTGGGACAGAAATTTCGGCTTTCCTGGTGTTGAAAAGAGACTCCAGGAGGTTCTGAGTGTGATTGTGGTGGCTGGGAAACGAAAACTTGAAAATCGATAAGCGAAAGCTGGGATTGAGTGCTGTGGCAATCAGGATCACATCACAACGCAAGGCCTCATGAGATAGGTGTTTGTTTTCGCTAGCATCTGCTTGAGCATTTTTTTGAATTCTGGTTCTGAGGAGGATTCGATTTTTTCAGTGAGGAATTCCTTGATGTACTGGTGTTCAGAAATGAGTAAGCATCCTGAGGAGTGGTCACCCTCCATCTTCTTTGTAAGGAAATAAAACTCCTGATAATATTGTGAAGGGCATATCAGGTCTTTGTCACATGAAGGAAAGAATTTCAAGACTCATTTTATATTGACTCACGCTGAGTGTGTCATTCAATCTATTCACCATCTCCCACTCGCTTCGACTAACCTCCACACTGTCAAAGTAGTTTTTCCCACCCTCTTGTTCTTGACGATCATTTTCATTTTCAATTAGTTTATCAATAATTTTCCGAGCCTGATATCCTCGATGTCGACTTTGGAAGACAATGTTCCAGCGAATACCGTACCCAGCAATGAGGCTGAGCCCATTAAAGTCGAGTTTTGTGCACCACGTCTTGTACTCGGAACGCTTGGCTGCAGAGGATGTTATCCTTTGAATAATGAAATCAACCTATGTGGAAGAATTGCTGGTGAGCTCTTGGCAATAAACAGTTTAACTATGGAAAGACATACCTTTTTCAAGACTGTATCAATATTACTTCCTCCATTATCAGGGATATCTGAGGAATCCAGATCACCGTCCCCATTACACCCATCAGAACCAGTTCTGCTTTTGGCTTGACCCTGCGGACGGAATTCTAAAGCCACGTCTTCTGCTACAAACTGATCTGGTTCCTCGCGTTCTTCTGACTCTTCAATGATCGGTTCTAAGTCAGGGGCAAAGCCGAGGGTGTCGCCTCTTGATTCGACCAATCCGTCGGTTGACTGTCGGAGAGCCTTCAGTCCGGCATTGAGGATCAAAGCTATCTTGTGGCAGAAGCACCGAATATGGTTTGCCGAGAGGTTTGGATTGACTCCTGTCTTCTTAGAAATAAGTCGGTCGACCTCAGAAGCCATTGTGAAATTGTTGGATCCTGAATCAGTTGTCTGGGCTAAGATGTATTGAAAACAAGTGGACAGATTAGTTTATCTCATTGAACACAGAAAGAAAGAAAAGAGACTTATCTTATGTTGTAATTTGGCCTTTGTCAGGATGTTTGCAAATGGGATTGCCAAAAGCCTTCCTTGGTGATTAGAGGCAATGTACTTCATTCCCAGATGTGAAATCTTAAAACACCAATCCTTGGTCACATAAGCAACTGAGATGCCAAGAAAAGCATGATGATTGCCTTTAGTGGTCCAGACGTCATGAATCAATGTGAATTTTGATTCAAGTGCCTGTCAACAGCATGTTTGAGTCAGGCTTCAGTCAACTGTTTGCAGGGGTGGGAGGGGGAAGAGGGAAGAACTTACATGTAAGCTGGCAATAACCTTGCTCTGTAGATTGAGATAGAGGTTATGTGCCTCATTTGCCGCCCAAGACCGACCATAGATCATGATATTTCGCCGAGCATAGTTGAAAGCCACACGCAGGAGAAAGTCTTGCATTCGGCTCCAAGGTAACGAGTATCGGATTAACCACATCACTAGGAGTTGATTCAAGACCCTCATTTCAAACACCGTGTTTTGAGCGTAATTGTGGATCTTATCTTCATCGTGGTTTTGCTTATTGAATTCGATTTCCATTGCTGTCAGAGGTAACTTAGCCCCAAAAGCAATTGCATCTGATCGTCCTGAGCAGGCAGGACGCTCCTTGGTGCCGTCACGGTGCTTGGTGAGGTTTGAGTTGGTCCCCTTGCTTTTCTTGTAAGGAGCTGAACACCACTTGCATCTGTGCGTGGATTTGTCTCCCTAAAAACAAGATCAGAAAGGCCAATGTTAGTCATGAGAAGAAAAAAATGGTAGAGGATCATGAAAAGCAAGAAATAATTTACAGTGTCACCTTCGTTGGCGTGGTATGGGGGCTCAAAGTACGCAAGGATGTTATCAAATTCACTGTCGTTCTTTGATACCTTCTTGACCTTTGAGTTGTTGTGGTCTGAGTCTTGAGTGATGTCAATCGCCCCTCCAACTTGATCAGAATCATCCTCGTTATTGGTTCGAACCACATTTTTCTTCTTCTTCTTCTTCTTTTGCTTGGATTTGGCTGCACTAGCATGACTTTGGTCAGTTGAAGACGATATTTGAGGCCGATGTCGCTTGCGTGACAGTTTTTGGAATGGCTGGGTGCTCTTAGTCTGAGAAACTGACTCGGTTTCACTCTCGGGGTTTGGAGTTTGGATTTGTCTGCTAGTCTGTGGTTGCAAAGATCGCCGAGAGTCTCGGTTGGATCTGACGAAATTTCTATGAGAACGCAAAGGAGTTGTGATTCGACTAGACTGACGGGAGGGTGTTTGTGAGGGAGTTCCACGAGGGGAAACAGATGATCGGGCCATTCTTGTGTGAAAGAACTCAAAGAACTAGGAGATTTATTTCTGTCATGAGAAAGTATTTTTCTATATACAACACTGTATCATGTAGGATGCAAAGAAAGAAAAATAGAACTGAGTGGAGTGAGAGAGAAAAGGGATCTACCTTGGTTATTCTGCCAAAGAGTTTCAATCGTGATGTTTCAACTTTTTGTGCGTCACTATACAGAGTGTCATAATTTTCATGTTAGTTTGCTTGGTCTTTAACTATCTGGAGATGTTATGGAAATCAGAATCTTACCTGATCAATGTCCTGATGTGAATGTTTCAGTGGGTTGCTGAATCTCTGACAAGTTGGCTTCTGCATACATGTTAAACACATTATATCAGCTTGAACCTTAACTGGTTGGGGTTGCTTATAGTTGCATATGTGAATTGGCTTAATGAAGTTATGGCTTACCTATTTCACCTGTTGCTCTTACAGTTTTCCTCCTCTTATTAGAGGACGTGCCAGAGCCTAGAATCTGACAGGGTGGAGGGTGGTGGTAGAAGATGAGGCAGGATGATATGATAGTGTGAGGTTAAACAAGTGAAATCTGATTGATGTTGGTGATGAAATCCAATCAGTGTAATTGATTCTGGTACCGGAAGAATGCTGGCACTGGTAGCAAAATCTGATTCAAAGAGTCCAATCAAGGTCAGTAAAGGAATAAACACATTGATTTTGGTGGACAGGCAAGCAGGAGGGTGGATGGTGGAAGAGACAAAGCAATAGAGGAAGAGGCCAAGGGATGAGGAAGCTGCTTTGATGAGGATGCTGGGACGAGGGTGAGGGAGTTGACACATTGCAAGGACTAGACGGTGTGGTCGAGGGGGACAACAATATCGTGTTGATGGGCAGGGATGGAGGGGGAGGAGGGCACGAGGAGGGCCCAGCAACTTCTTCTTCACCAGACTCTCCAGCACATCCGCTAGATACATGTCCACCCTTGCACCCGATGGTCGTGGTCCGTCGCATCGATGTAATCCCATTCGGCCTCCTGACCCGGCCGGTCTTCTTCTTCTTCTTCTCCCTCTGAGCCCAACGAGCCCTCGCTCCGAGTCGTACTCATTCGTGTACGAACAGCTGTCCGTCAAGGACGGGATCCCTAGGGGACGCAGCGCCTCCTGACGTCGACTCGTTCGACGGAGGGCCCGGTTTGAGGACGACTTCTCCGACTTCGAAGTCGTCGTCCGGTCCGAGGGCGAGAGCCCGCCAACAGTCGTCGAACTGGAGAGGGTGGACGAACGGCTGTCTTCGCGCAGACGGTAAGTGCCGCCGAGAACACCGGGTCGTCCCTGGATGAGCAGCTGCTGCCGTTGACGGAGGAGCGAGTTGAGGGGCGGCTTCGGCCCGCAGGCGGACATAAAGCTTGAGCGTTGCCGAGCTGGTGGCCGACCAAGACTCGAGCTGGTAGGAAGTCGCGCTGCTGTACAGCCAGACAGTCGAATCCCGCTTGCGTTCGTTCGTCCCTGATGATGAGAATGGATTCTCATCCGCCCACATCAACGGAGTCTCGGCAACTGCACGTTGGAGCTCGGTGTAGCTTGCTTGGACGATCCGCTTCGGGGGTGGCGGGCCCAGCTGGTCGAGCGAGCCGTACTTCTTAACAGGGTGATAGGCTGCCCCGTTGACGATGGGGGACTTGGCCTCCGGGCTCGATTCTTCCGGGTATAGACCAATCTTGTTCAAGAGCTGGGAGACGAGGGCGCGTTCTTGAGGACTACTCTGGAAGTCGATTGAAGACCGAGAGAGATTTGAGACCGTCGAACGCCTTGGGGAGAGTGATAAGAGACTTGAAGAGTGAGATCGAGTATAGTCAGCGGTGCAATCCAGGAAACCAAAAAACTAGGTAATGGTTTGAAAACGTGACCTACGAGTAGACGGCGGAAGCACCACCACCAGCGACCATAGTTGGAGACTCAGACTCGTCCGTTTGCATCTCTTTCTTACGCGGATGATCCAAGATGATATCCAGCAATTTGAGGAGGAAGGAGAAAGATTTAGGCAGATAGAAGAATAAAAGAAAATATTACCATACAATGTCAAGCTCCCAATGAAGTCGTCCAACCAATTCAATAAACGCCTGGAGATGAGCATCCGAGATGATCAGCTTCCTCGGTTTGGTGATTGATTGTTTTATGGGGGAGGGGGGGGGAGGAGGTTGACGGACTTACCTCGATACGCCTATTAGTATCAAAATACTCAAGCAATTGTATCGTATTTGTGATCCAGGGCAGGAAATACGCCTGTCTCGGATCAGCTGCTGGAATCCCGGACTTTGAATACGATGTATTCAGTCGGGATCGTCATTCAATACCGATCCGAGATATCGGGGTGTATCAAATCCAGATACCCCCGAATACCGATACTCGTCTCGTATCGGTGGCAGCGTTGGCAGAGGGCACTGAGTGGCAGGGAAGATGCTACCATAATTCCATCCTGAGCCATATACTCAATGTACTGTGGCTGAATTCCCTCAGCAGAATGAAGAGGCCATTGCTGTGTAAGTGGAGCATTATCAGAGTACCACTGATTGCCCTTACCTTTGCCATGGCGCTAGCACCCACTGCAAGGTATCTCAAGCCAGGCGTGGTACTTGGATATGGAAAACTTGAGGAGATTTGGGATGGGGTGATCAATTTCATAACATCACATAATTTGAATGCATGGCAAAGCTCTATCTTGATGCAGCACATTTGGGTTGGGGGACTAGTTAAGCAAGAAAATTGATAACGGGGAACCAATAATGATCAGGATTATTGGTCATGAAATTCAGGAAGGTGGCTGTGAGTTGGATGAGACAGAAGGTGAAGTCGTTGGAGGACTGTAGCTGAGAAACTATGACATGAGAATGCAGAATATACTATCTACCAATGGGGATCATGAATCCAGAACAAAGATCACATGTTTTGACACAATCATACAATCATGCAGGGATTACTATAATTCAATAACGGACTCCAGATTCATAGACAAGCATAAGAAAATGATAGGGAACAGTGCATAAGTAGACCTAAAATTGAATTGGAGAAGTGCAGCTTGTTGGTTTTATTGGATT